TTTTTTTATTTATGAGATATGGTAACCCTATACAGAAACCTCACTCTGCCTCCAACTTTCCAGTCTCCTCTGTCTGTCTAGCTTCTTTCCCACTACAGTGATTCTCAAACATTTTATGAATGGAATCCATTTGGAAGCCATCATAAATTCTCAGCATCCAATGAAAAATAAAACTGCTCCAATTACACTTGTTACTTGCCTGCTTTTAGACATGGAAACTCATACTTTAATCCCCTGGTCTAGTTCCTTTGTCTTTAAGCAGCTCCTGCAGCTTTTAGGGTCAATGCAGGCTGGGGGTACTCCTCATACAGCTCCCACTCAGTTAATCCACTTTTCAACATACCGGACTGAGGCAGAGCAGGAAGCCAAGTACCACACTCTGATCAGATGGCTTCGGGTGGAATAAAGAAGGCCAAGCTGAAGCACCAGAAAATAGACTAGTGGTATAAGAGCTGCATGAGCATCTGCCAGAGAAACAAAGAGGAACCAAACAAGGAAACCCAACTAATTAGCTAACAGAGGTTTTGTTCCATCTTGGGAGGGGAAAGGCATGGTTTGCAATAAAGTGGAGGGTAGGCAGAGCAAGGATGAAGTTTGATTTAGTTTCAAATCAAGGGAAAGAAGGTAACCTTAGCACCAATCACAATTTTTAGTGGAACAAAAATACCTTTTGGGGCTACCCACCTCTGAGCTTTGACAATCTCTGCTCAAGAGAGGCCCTGTTCTGGAAAGGCAGGAATGCTTCAGGTTGAGAGGGTCGGCTGAGCAGTGTGGAAGGAGTCCAGGATAGGAATGGCCATAGTTGCTGTGGGTCAGGACTGAGGTGTATTGGCAGAGCTGAGTGGGGAAGGAGAACCCAAGACTGGAACAGCAGGGGGGCTGCAGCCAAGATTAAAGGACACTGGTAGATTTGTGCAAAGGAAACTTGCACAGTATCTACCACACTATGCCTGGCTCTGCCCTGTGCTGTCTGTCCCCTCATTTTCATAATCACCCATTCCAAGTTTTGGATAGAGGGGAAAAACTCTGCAAACTGCATGCTCATCCAGGGCATGAGCTGGTCTTTTTAACTTTCAAAGCTCCTATTTGGGACTGGGCTGTATGCCTTGCTGACCCTGTGAGCAACGTTTGCCTTGTTCCCATATCCTGATGGACTCATCCGATCAGAATCATCTCTATAGTCCAAGCTGTGGCAGGGGGAATTTGGCTGGATTTATGCAGGCAACATATGATGGATTTGTGCAGGAATCACACAAAATCCTACAATGGCCAACTCTTCTGTTAGGAAGTGCACAGCTGCACCTGGGCTGGAGTTGCCTTTGAGAATCACCTCCACTAAAGGCATTTAAAATTTGCAGCAACAACCTTCCCAGAAGAGACAGCAACAACTTACATTTACAGTAATCTCAGGAAGCTACCGTTAATTAAATGTGTTATTTGCCTCTCCCCTCTTTGACCCCTACATTCTAGCCCAGGGCTGGCTAAAATGCAGCCTGTGGTCAAATGTAGCTACCGGAGCTCTACAAAGCAGCCACCTTCATGTCTAACACAGAGGTGTGACCAACAAATGGCCTAGTCCTTTAGAACTAGAAGGGGAGTTGCATGGTGGGACCTGAAATTCTTCAGGCTGTCCTTGCATATTACAGATGAAGACAGCTGCAATCAGCTATATGTTGTGCAAATTAGCCCTCAGGCTCTCAGCCAACTGCCAGTGCCCTTGCTGCCTCTGTTCTAGTGGAAGCATGGAAGGCTCTAAGGATGCATAGCCTCCTGCATTGGCTCTATAGTTTCAGTTCCAACATGAGTAAATAATTTTATTCAGCTTTGCCTTGGGCCTGTTTGCAGTTATACTGTATTGGCCTTCACAGAACAACTACAGGCTTGACCCCTGGATACATTTTCAAGCAGTGCCCCTGATTTAAGCTCTCTCTACTTCAGTCAGTTCCTGGTTCGATCTCTATCCTCACAAACTCTGCTGTTGAAAGAGATGATGAGCTGAATTGCATGTTCCCTCTGCAGAGGGTGTTCTCTCCTGGACTGGTGGCAACAACACAGATCAGTGAAGCAATAGGCAAGTCATGAAGATTGGGTTCTCACAACCTGGAATGACAGACTCTGGAGTGCTGGTGAAAGGTACCAGCTTCATTGACAGTATTGAGCTTTAAGGCCTGTGTTCACTGAACAGGGTCAGCAACAGCAGTGCAAGAGAGGTGTGATATAATGGTGTGAACACTGTACTGGTAATCTGAATTATAATCCCCACATTAACATTAAGGAACTCCAAATGGTGGACTAGGGAGGAAGTAGTATATTATGGTAGAAAGGGCTCTGTTCATATAAACCATTACTTTAAAATCTAACTGTTTCACCATCAGGTTACAAACTTGTACCCTGGGATTCAGAAAGAGCTGGAATATGAACCCCAGAAGAGAAGAGTCTATAAGAGAAACCCAGACAGAACCTGAACTACAGCACAGTATTGCTGCTACAACACTAGGATAAGATTAACACCTTTCTTCAGAGACATCTAGGAGCCAAGCTTTGGAAACATGAAGCCATACAGCTCAGTGAAGAATGGATGTAGGAGAGAACTAGGTAGGAGAAATAAATACGTAAGTAAAAACCTACGACAAATGGGCAAATATAGCAGTGCAGCCAACGCCAGGCCATTTAAGATGTCTTGAATCTCAGCATTAGGATGTACACTCTCTAGAGCATCAGAAGAAGAGATTACTGTCTCTAGTGGGAAAGACACAGGGTGAGCAGGGATTGCAGCCCTCGAGCATTGTTCAGGATGGTGATCCACAATATTCCTGATCTTTAATAAGAAGGTTCAACACATGGACACTACAGATCCCTACATGCACTGTTCCTTTTGATTTGAGAGGATAGGCTTGTCAACTCAATGGAGACCTGCATGCAGAGACATCGGGCTTGTCTACCTGGCACTGGCAAAGCGCACTAAAGGGGTCTGATTTGTAGGCTGCTCTAATGTGTTTCACTCTAACTGCCCCATGTAGACCCAGCTGGTACACTCTGAAAGGTACCTAGTGTGCGTTGATGTAGTTCTGTTTCAAACAGGAGTACATTAATGGAAACTAGATACCTTTTAGAACCAGCAGGGTCAACACAAGGCAGTCAGAGTACAGCACATTAGTGCACTTTACAGATCTCACCCCTCTGGTGTGCTTTGCCGGGCCATGTAGACAAGCCCTTGCAGTCTCTTCAGGCTACACCTCTGGACCCTGGCACAAGTAGCAGCACTCCCAATAAAGTTGATTAACAATTTACTCCTGTTTACACTCACTCAGAACTTCCTGAAACTTTCAGAATTTGAGCTGAAATGACCTCATTCTCTGCTCAAAGGTTACTTTTTGACAGAGAAAGTTTGAGCAAAAGATATATGTATTTGGGCAAAGTCTGGGAAACTATTTACATCCTTGGCCAGCCACGGAGGAAGGCTTACACAGATAGCTACTCCAGAAGGGAGATAAAATAGCAAACCAAAATCCAGACTTGTGGGGCAACAAGAGCTTTTGACATCAGGACAAAGGAATATCCCACACTGGAATCCATGCCCCCAGCCAGAAGCATTTAGCAAGCCAGCAAAACACAGACAGAAATAAAGAGAGAGAAACTGGAAGCAGTTAATGTTTTATAAGGATTACAGTGCATGTTTGTAGATCTAGGTGAACTTCCAAACCTAATATAGCAACACGGAATGTATCTGCAGAGCATGTGGGACTTATAAAGACTTACTCTCCTTCTAAGCTACGAACTAGGTCCTGGCCAGAGTTTCAGAGACAGAAGATTTTCACAAATCCAACCTGCTGGCATCTTTTTAGAGAGAGATTCTGCCAAAGGAGTCTTCTGGGGGACATTAAAGAAAAAAAATAAAGAGTGTCCACCAGACTGATGGGATCTGAACTACACCTACACTGTAATATATACATGCATGTACTCCCTCTTTCTCCTTGCAGTTTGTTTTATCCTGCCAATGTAACAGATTATTATACACTGCAGCATTTCTATTGCAGTTTATCAAAGGAAAGTTTGAACCCAGCCTCTCAAAGATATGAGTTTAGAGTTAATGAGAGCCCATTTAGATAAGGAGAGCAATATAGGGTGGGATGGGAGGTGTGAAATACTTCAAACCCCATAAACTACCCTCTATCACTAGCACTGTTATCTGCCCCAGCAGGGCACCAGCTGCTACAGACCCCTTCCTAATCAGGAGAGAATGCAGAGCTCTAGCAGAGGAGAGTGCTGACATAGGGGTCAGGAGAAGTTACCTATTGGAAGGATGTGACAATCCTACTGCAGTTTATATTTATCAGGAGAATCTTGGCACTGTAAATGTTGAAGATTTCTTAAGCGAGGGTCCAAGCACAATATTCCTGTGTGCTGGACAGAGCTCCTTTGAAGATCAGTGTGGCTCAACAGAGACCGTTATTACAGACAAAGGGCTCCTTCTGAGCATGTCAGCTCCACAGAACTCCTGGGCCTAGTCTACTTCGGATCTGGAAGGCCACCAGGAGGCTATCCTTTTCCTTCCATCCTTTGACTCTAATCTCTTAAGAAAGTCTGTTTACCTTTTGGGATATCATGCTCCAGAGAGTCCAGGAAGTCAATGGATGGGTCCAGGTCAGCCTTTTGCAGGAGTGTTCTGTTCTTCAGGTTAACAGGCTCAGTGAAGTGGAAATAGGAATTTAACTTTTTTGCTTCAGTCAGAGACAGACCTGTAGTATGAACAGTTGAAGACCATTAGCACCATGCCTGATCAAACACTCATTATATCAAGATCTCTCTGCTTAGTCATAGTCCAGAGTGTACGGCAGAACCACAGCCTCTCTCCAGTTTTGTTCCATGGGCTCCACAGAAAGATCAGAGACCTGCTGGAAATGGATGATCTCACAGTGTTGGGGGAGATTTTGCAGGCAACGCAAATTGAAGTCCCAGATTAGCAATGGGTGCTGAACGAGACAAATCTCTCTGTGAGCCCTGCAATCAGAGGGAGAATTTCTCTAGCACTACAACTACCAAATGCTGCTAGAAACTCCATGGACCATAGCATAAAGGCAGGGATTCCCAAACTTGGTTCGCGGCTTTTTCAGGGTAAGCCCCTGGCAGACCGTGAGACACTTTGTTTACCTGAGCATCCGCAGGTACGGCGGCTTACCGCTCCCAGTGGCCGTGGTACACCGTTCCCGGCCAATGGGAGCTGCGAGAAGCAGTGGCCCAGCCTGTGCCGCTTCCCACAGCTCCCATTGGCCAGGAACAGCAAACCACAGCCACTGGGAACTGCGAGCGGCCATACCTACAGACACTCAGGTAAACAAAGCATCTCGCGGCCCACCAAGGGCTTACCCTGAACAAGCCGCGAACCAAGTTTGGGAACCCCTGCATACAGGAAACTCTATGCTCAGTAACTTTAGAGACTCAGAGCCAAATCAAATCCATTGGTGATTTGGAGTCCTTCTCCTCCCATCTCTCAGAATTATGCACTCTGTATTAGTGATTCTGTTAGCAGTTCCATAAACTGAACCAAAATGGAAGCAGCATTAGTGGATTCCCTATTCTCTGTTCACCAAGCCAAGGGAGAGGAACAAGCCAGGAACCAGAATACCAGCTAGAAGGAGAAAGTAAACCTTTCTTACTGCTTTTGTATTCAAAGTACAGACATGCACCTGAATCCTGATATAGATTATGTGGATTTACCTTCAAAATTCCTGTTTTCATGGACAGGGCCGAGCGGGGTCTTCACAAATGCACCCCGTGGGATGATACCCACTGCCTTATCTATCTGATCTATCGTAGCTACAAGACGGATTTCCTCCTTGATCATGGGCTTTAAAGAAAAATAAGCAAATATTAAATCGCAGCTTTCACTGTTTCTTTTACTGGAAATAAACTTAGGGTGCCTGTAGGAACCACAATACAGTCATCATCTTGAGTTTGATGGGATTATGAGAATGATCACACTTCACATATTCTTAGTGAAACAATATAACAGAGAACATTGTTAAGAGTAGACATTTCAAACCCATTGGGGCAGTAGCTATTATTCCCTCCCTCTGGATTAACCCAGGCATAACTGAGATCCGAATTTGGCCATTTGATTATAAGCAATAGCAATTCCGTGTTCAGTTTCTATATAAAGTGTCAGGCACAGCTATGAGACAAGATGCAAATGTTAAATAAAGCTATATAAAAATATCTGAAATGAATCCAACTAATTCATATAAATAGGGAGGAGAAGTGAGGATGTTTCCAAGACATTTATAACTCCAAGGTTAGCTGAAGTGGTCAATGAAAGTTGCTGCTGTTCCATAGCGACAGAAATCAGGGAAATGCATGTTCACCCCAGTATGAACAGGGATTTCCTTAAAGGAGATGTGAGCTATGTTGAACTCATGTTGAGACCGAAATACTACTATCCCTCGTCTTCTAAGGCAACAGTACCCAATATTTTGGGGCACCAGTCAGCGCCGCCTGCTTCTCTACAACTCCTCCCATTCAGTGGTGCCCACTCAAACATGCATTGGTTATGAATGATAGGATCCTCGCAAGTGTAATACTTTGTACTGGAGCAGCCTGAACTCCCTTGATGATTAAAGCATTCACAGCTGGTTGGAAAGGGCAGCAGACTGGGAAGCAGTATAGGTTTATTACCAGGAAGAAGTATCAATTCTAGTTTGTTCAGTTCAGGCTGGGAACAACTGTATTAGGGGACAGCTTAGAAGACAGGTCTAGAAAATGGCCTGTTGTACTTACCCCACCTTCCTCCTCATATATTCTCTCATTCTCTTCCCCCTTCTTCTCAATGGGATCATACTCATAAGATGGATCCCCCTGGAAACGGCCCTTTAGCCCTGCAGTCTGTGTGATCATTTCCTCAGTAGCTGGTGGCAGAAGACTCCACTCCACGCAGTTCAAGCTGTCAGCCAGACAAACACAACAAAGGGCAAAGCTTATTGAAACACAGGGACCCTCCTTTTCAGATGTAATGCAGCCCATTGGGAGCCTTGCAAGAACCATTGGTGAAACAGGTGACATGCAGAGAGACAATGGTGTGCACTGATGGAAACTGATTGCCTTCTTAAAGCATCACCACCTGGTGCTCGAAAAGAGGAGCCACTTGCGGGGCTCAGAAAGGCAGGATAGAAGCTGCTGTTCAATACTACATTGTACAACCAGCATCGCACAGACATTTTAAAGGAAGGACATTTTTAAAGATCTTGTGGTTAAAGAACTAGAAGGTCTGGTTCTATTCCGAGCTCTGCCACATACTTCCCTGTGTGAACTTAGGGTATGTCTACACTGCAATAAAAGACCCACAGCCCGAGTCCTGTGAATCTAAGTCAACTGACCCAGGTCAGCTGCGGCTGTGCCATGGGTCTTTCATCACAATGTAGACGTACTCTTCGGCAAGCTTCCACACTTTTCTGTTTCTCAGTTCCTTCTCTGTAAAATCCCCTTCCCATAGGGAAATTGTGCAGAGAAATCCATGAAGGGTTTGTAGGGTGCTCAGATGTTATGGTGATGAGCACCATAAAACACCATAATAAAGTCTTGTCACAGTAAGAGGCAAAGATAGGAACCAGCTCTTCCCCGCCCGCAGCCCCTCTCAGCTGCAGAAGTAACTCTTAAGCCCATTCTGCCCCACAACCTGTTGCTGTGTCCTATATGGACAAATCTTGGAATGAAGCTGCCCCATCCAGGGACTATATGGATAGTTCCTGGACAGTCTGCCCTCCCCCCACACACACACCTGTATGGACAGATCCTGAGCCCAGTTTCCCACCACCACCACCACCTGTATGGACACCTCTTAAGTCCAGCCTCCCATGTCCCCATCACCTCTATGGACAGCTCCTGAGCCCAGCGTCCCTCCCCCCATATGGACAGCTCCTGAGTCCAACCTGCCCCCCGCCACACACACACACACACACACCTGTGTGGACAGCTCCTACCCCCCCCCACCCCACACACACACCTGTGTGGACAGCTCTTGCCCCCTACACACACCTGTAGAGGCGGCTCCTGGGCCCGGCGCGGTCTCCCCCCAGCCCCCTCGGCGATGTAATAGGGCCCGCGGATGCCCTGGATGCGGCCCCAGAACCGGACCCGCTCGAAGCGATAGTCCCGGCGCAGCAGCAGCAGCGAGGCTCGCAGCGCCGCCCGCTTCTCTGAGCTCAGCCCCCCGCCGCCCCCGGCCACCAGGTCCAGCGCGTAGGGCAGCGACTCGGCGTCCATGGCGGGGCTCCCGGGCGGGGGGATGACACCGGCTGCGGCTGTGCAGGAAGCCGCGTCTCGTTACCTGGCAACCGCCTCCACGGAGACGCGTCGCTCGGAGGGGGCGGGGTCGAGCCGTTGTTGCGGATCGGAGGTCAGAGGTCACGTGGTACTGGGGTCAGAGGTCACGGGCGGGGGAAAATCTGTATTGCCCTTGTTAACCCTTTACTTCGGGGGGGGGGTTCACAATTTTTGGTCAAAACTGAAAATTAATCAAATTCAGGCCCGTGGAAATAGTGCAGAGGCAGATGGTGGCACCCTGGTAACAGCAAGACCCATGATGCCATGGCAACCACAACACCTATGATGCCATGGCAACAGCAACACCCATGGGACTAAAGGACACCTGGGCAATGGCAACACCCCGAAGATCGCAGCCCCAGTTTCTCCCCAGAATAGCTGACCTGAAGAAACACATACAGGACATAATGTGGCTTCCCTCCTTCACCTCGGCCGGGTGCAGCCCCCCCAGAGCCTGTCCCACCCAGTCCTGACACCCCATCGCCCCGGCCTTCCCACTTGGAGAGAGAGCGTGGCAGTGGGAACGGGCATTGCCACATAGGGAATTGCGCTGTGGACGGCCTCTGTCGCACACACCAGGGTCGTCATCCTGGCACAAGGGACAAAATGGCCAATCTGCTTAATAGCACTGACAAGCATGACTGGCCTGGGGATTCGCAGGTTCCCAGGCAAGGGCAGGAGTCCAAGCCCCCAAAGGATGGCAGGGTGCTGGGGATCACTCAGAGAGCCCAAGTGGCTCAATGTGTATTTGGGTAGCTATCTCAAGGGCTCCCAAGCACTGGCTATACTAGCACCCTCTTGTCTTGTGTGGGGTGGTGAATCCTTGATTCCACTGACAGGACTGGAATTCCCTCTGCAGCCTCAACCCCCTCCCCCACTAGTAGGCAGGGAGTGAACACTATCAGGGGATCCAGTGAGGAGAAATCCAGACAGCACCTAATCACCTGTAATCATGGCGGGGAGTTGCACAGTGACCCGTTAAGAGGCACCCATGTGCGTCTCCTGTAGCTCCACCTTGTGATAGAGGAGAGAGCAAGGATTGTGAGAGAGTCTGCAGATGGCAGCCAGGGCCGGCTCTCGCTTTTTGGCCGCCCCAAGCAAAAAAAAAACGGGGCAGCCAGAACGGCAAAGCAAAAAAAAAAACCTGCGGTGCGGCTGGAGCGCAGGTGCAGGGGGACCAGCTGGGGGGGGAGGGGGAGGGAGCGGGCAGGAGAGAGAGAAAAGGGGGCAGCCAGGGAAGGAAGAGGACTGCCCTGCAGGGCGCTCTGGTTCTCCACGCCACTGCCCCCTACAGGGCAGCCAGAGCGGAACAAGAACAAACAAACAAACAAACAAAAAGCGGCCGTGCCGCCCTAGGATTGGGCAGAATGCTGCCTCGAACAGTCTGCCGTCCCAAGCACCAGCTTGCTCAGCTGGTGCCTGGAGCCGGCCCTGATGGCAGCCTGGCCAAACAAACGCCTGTATGCTGTTCCTGTGTAAAGTGAAGCGCTCCCTGAGCCATCTGGGACAAGCAGTCTTTTAAGAAGGTGGTTGGAGCAGGTTGCCCTGCATAGCTGCACATGAGATCTCCTCCTCAGGAGGCTGTACACCCTCCCCCAGGTAAGTCTGTGAGCCTGCAAGACAGCTAACTGTTGTATGTATCTTGTTTGGGGTACCACTAAGGACTGCTTCCTCCCCATTTCAAAAAAACAAAAACAAAAAAAACATGAATCCCACCACCTCTGGTGTAATTTTTACTGGTATTGTTGTTATTTAGCTTGTATATTATGGCAACATTTGAGGACAGCAGTCAGGATTGGATGCCCATTGTGTTGGGCACTCTACAGACAGAGGAAACAGTTCTTGCCCCATAGTGCTTACATTGTAGTTTTAAGGCAAGATGCAGTGAGTGAAGGATGAGGGCAAAAGTAATCAGATCCTGTGGTTCTGACTGATGAGTCCACGACTGTAATGTCCATAGCTTGACAGCTCTAAATCACTTAAGGAATTTTTATATATAATTAACAAATCTTTATCAAATATAACTTCCTGGGTTCCTTGCACATTTCCCCTCCCACTCACACCTGGGGAAAAAAGTGATCCAGGGATTGCTGCCTATAACTTTTATGTTTGGTTGGTCTACCCCTTCTATATAAATAAACTATTCGCAGTTGTCCCTCTACCAAGCATTATTAAATTTAGTATTAGCTCTGGCATACACTTTCTGAGAGGCACAGCACAGAATCTGGTCTATTATTTTTAGTTAATTCTGGTGAAAGGGGTCAGATTGCTAACCCTGGAGACAGCCTCTATTTAAGATCAGATCATCACAGACACTAGCAACTCAAGTTTTCCACATACATTGTCACCTACCATTGTACCTCATTCTGATTAGGCGAGATTACCTATAGGAGTAAAAGTTCAGTCTCCATAGTTTCTCTGCTAAGACTGCCAGCTACACCCATTGTTATGGTGATTTTTATGATATGGACACCTGTCCACTAGGAAGTGGACTGAGACCTCCAACTCAGTTCACCTGGGTCAGCCAGTCACCCTAATGTGGTAATGACTTTCTATCACGATCATCCACAGCTGGATTCAAACCAGATGCCAAGAACTGGAAGGCTCTTTATCCCGTTACTGATCCCCTAAGCCACCCAGTCTCCAGTCTCTGCCTGTCTTGACTGAAGATTATCGAAAAGGAAATCTATAGCTTAAAGAAATTCTTCCAGGTTCAATAAAGCCTGGTGGGTAACTGTACTCTGCCTTGCTTTGTCCTGACCCCAATTACTAAACACTGATAAGGATCGGGAAGTAAGTGGCTGTATTATTTAACAAATGAAAGGTCAAAAGCGCTGCCATTCAGCAAGGTCAAAGGTTACCATCACTGTTATTAAACAATTTGAAAGCCACCTCTCCCATCAGTGGCTGTTTCAGGATAAAGCGGCAAGCAGCTGAGGAGCCAGGCAGGCTGGGGGGGAAACAAAGCACGGACACCAGATATAGTTCAGTCCAACACTTGGTTGTGGGCTTCATTTCTAATACCTTCTTCAAAGAGGGGAAGTCAAGTGTTCCAGGAACACACACGGACCTGTTGTCAGTGCAGCTAGCTCTCTTGTCCCTACCCCAAAGAGATTTCAGATCCTACTACAGGTCAACAGGATAGCTGTCCTGTTAGAGTTACCATTCATTGGGTGAGATATTAAACTGAGGTCCCGTCCACCCATCTCTGGTGGGACATTAAATATCCTATGGCAGTTTTCAAAAAAGATTTCAAGGAAAACTTCAGTGTCAGGGTCAAACATTTCCTCTTTGATTAGACCAGCTCTAATGCTGGAGACTGTGTGCGGGCTATTGCTGGATGCAGAATAGCCACTGCAAGCTTTACACTACCAGTACCACTTGACTTCGTAAAGTCCCTTGAGATACCTTGAATGTTAAAGGTGTTGTAGAAAAACAGTTTCTCTTCCATGGTGTTTACTTAGGGCATCACAACTCGAGGAAAGAACAGATGTTGATCCATTAACTACCTTATGGGAACCAGTAGAAGATATGATATTAATAGTGGCCTGGTCAATGTCTCCTCGCCTCCTGGAATAGATGTGACAGAGTCTCGGGCCTTCTCTGCCCTTTGCTAAGGGGACAGATACACACTCCCCAGCGAAGGAAAATCCACTCCGATCGGGTGACCAATAAGACAGTCCTCCAGAGATCTAGCAGGGCCAGGAGGAAATACTGGCAAATCAGGAAACAGCAGGCCAGTTAAGAAAGGCAGAGCTGGGTAAGACTGGAACAGACTAGATGTTCCTCAGGGAGAACACAAAACACAGGCCTTGGCCCTTGTCCTAAGCACTGCAACTAAGTGCTTATATTTTGAAAAGGTTTTTTTCTCTTTGTTTAAAGGTACATACAGCCAAATCCCGAGTTGCTATTTTGTTACATGACTGATAAGGGATTGATGCCAAGTGTGACGGTGCACTCTATATAATTTTAGAAAAATATGCTAATGAGAGTAAATATAATGTAACTGGAATATACTTCATGCAAAAGGTCTCTTGTAAGGTATCGTTACAAAGCTGATAATCTACTGAATGTGTTCATCCTATTTGTATGAATGTATCATTCTTGTACCTGAAACTAGAAATATGAAATATAACTCTGACGGCCTATTGTAATTATGCAAAGTGTGGGCCATTGATGGTGGTTTGGAATCTCAATGGCTCCCATTAACCAGGACAATTGACTGTAGAGGGCTCTGTTTTACTTGTAAGTCTTCCTGTATACCTGTGTGCCGGCAAGTGGGTAATGAAGTCTTACAGTGACATGTGATCATGTCACCTGAACTGGAATCTATCTTTAACCTGGTCTTTTTCTATTTAGAAGGAGGGGTGGGAACCCAGAGAGGGACAAAGGATTCCCGCCTTATGCAAAAGATATATAAGTGGGTGGAACAGAACAAAGGTGGCTGCAAGCATGAGAAATCCCCTAGCTACCACCTGAGCTGTACCAGGGGAAAGGATTGTGCCCAGACTAGGAAGGCATCCAGTCTGTGATAGAAGCTTATTGAAACATCTCTGAGGGTGAGATTTTATCTGTATTCAGTTTTCTTACTGTATTAGGCATAGGTTTGCGTGTTTTATTTTATTTTGTTTGGTAATTCACTTTGTTCTGTCTGTTACTACTTGGAACCACTTAAATCCTACTTTCTTTATTTAATAAAATCACTTTTTACTTATTAATTAACCCAGAGTATGTATTAATACCTGGGGGTAAACAGCTGTGCATATCTCTCTATCAGTGTTATAGAGGGCGAACAATTTATGAGTTTACCCTGGATAAGCTTTATACAGGGTAAAACGGATTTATTTGGGGTTTGGACCCTATTGGGAGGTGGGCATCTGAGTGTTAGGGCTGGTCTACACTAACTCCCCAGTTCGAACTAAGATACGCAACTTCAGCTACGTGAATAACATAGTTGAAGTCGAAGTACCTTAGTTCAAACTTAAAGGTACTTACCAAAGGTCCACATGCG